AATACTTTCAGTTCTGTGCCCCCTCTCCCTCCCGTGGTCAGCCCAAATGCTTCCTCCCGTCTCACCAAGATGGTTCCCGGGCAACAGGCCACAGAGGGTTTTGTGTGGATGTGCCTCCATGTGCCTACCTCCAGCTCCTTCTCAAAACTTAGAGAATTCAAAAACAAAAACAAAAGCCCTGCTGTTTTGCACTGGGCCTCTCGTTGCCATGGATCCAGATCAGCAGGCACTGCACACAGGGGCTCTGCTTTCTGCTCCAGGCTCCATGCTGGGCTTGCTCTTCTGGAAGGGACACCGACTTTGTAATGAAACCAAATGGATTCATGGAATCTGAAGCGGTACAACAATCATAAAATGCTACATCCCTGAAATACTGATACTCTATCACCATTTGCCAAATCAAGGCCTCCTAAACCCACAGGGTCTTAAGTCAACCAATGAGTTCAGCTGCATGTTGGACCCTGTGTCTGGCTCAAAAAGACACCTCTGTCCTGTTATTTGCTGCTCTTTGCTTTCCTTGATTGCCTTGTGGACCAGGAGTTACCTGACAGTGCTAGGTTCTTCTGACAGACAAAAATAGTAGCTGTCATATGTTAATGAACATCACCTGAGGGCATTAGGCACTTGTCTGTGGACACATGTGCTTGTGCTGTGGCAGGTCTACAAGTGTAGATTCATTTATTACTCCCACAGCCTCAAAGGGTACAGTGCTTCTCTCCCACTTGTTGGGTCTAGAGACCTAAGGCAGATGAGTGAGTATCCCATCCCCAATGGAAAGCACTATGATTCCTGCGTCCTGAGAAGGAGCTGTAAATCTGCGTTTCTGCACCCTGAAGAGGAGATACAGGGTCTGATAGATCTGCCACAGGGCTGATGAGCAAAATGCTCTCAAGATTGTTTCCCCTCCTCCAATAAAGGTGCAAACAGACCAGTTCTTCTAAGAAAGTCCACAAATCCATGGCCAATGAAAAGAGCCCACCTAACCCTTACCCAAACCCAGAGTTAAAATGTCCATAAAAGCCCCAGCCTTCACCTGAGCAGGGAGCCACCGGTTTCCAGGCTCCACCGCACAGCTCTAGCTTAGCCTTTCCTTTCTCTCTAATAAATCCTACTTCACATGCCAGCTTTGGCTCACAAGTCAATCAGCTGCCTCACGAGCCAGTTCTCTGGCCTGAGAAGGCAAGGACCCTTGACATCAATTGGCCCGCAACACTTCAAATTGGCACATAACATACTGAAGCTGAAAAAGACTATCACTTGCCAAAGTTTGTCCAAAAAGGGGATCTGAGCCCACAACCCCCACCCAAGGCTCCGGGTCTGGCAGTGGCACTGTAGGGAGGACAGCAGTTAACCCTCCCTTCAACCAGTGCTGCTGTAAACACAGGACCTTTTGTCTCTTCTCCCACTTCCTTCCGAACACAGGCCCTTTCTTCCTGTGGACACCGGCCACCACAGCCTCGTGAGCAGCTTGGTGGTGGGTAGCACTGTCCCTTGTAGCAGAAAACAATATCGCTGCTCTCCTCCTGACAAACACAAGCCAGGATGACCTCTTCCTGATGCTAATTGCAACCTGGGGCCTGCTGAAAGCCTGAGGATGGAAGAGAGGAGAAGGAAGATCTAAGGCACTGGAGAAGATCGCAGCAGAGGCTCTGACCTCCAGGGAAGGGCCTGCTAATCTACCAGGTCCCTACCTACCACATGAGTGGAAAGGCACTGGCCTGGGAGGCATTGCCCCCTCCCTTTTGTGACAGTGCTGGACCCTGCCCCCTGCCACCTTGTCAGTTTCCCTGGATCAACAGAGCCTCTCCAGTCAGTCACATGGGGGTGCCTGTGGCATCCAGGGGTGCTGTGGTGCAAACTCAACAGGATTTGAGCCTCCATCACTGACTCCCAGTCATCCTCAAAGTACCACAGACTGAAATGTGGGTCAGTCCTCAACACACCATGACCACTAATCAAGCAATGGCTCTTGGCTATAGAGACAGCAAAGCCAGTCAGTCAGCCTCAGGTGTGGCCTGTGCCTTTCCTCTTGGTCTCCACCTCTTAGCAAACCCAAGAAGCTTAAGAACCAGCTCCTGGCTGGTGCTTCGCTGCCCAAGGCTTTTCTCTTGTGTAGTGACACTACACTGCTCTTTACAGGTGGACTATGTTTGCAATGTCTTATTATATAAGTTGGGGATTTTATACATTCAAAACTTAGCCACTTGTTTCTGGTTTCCGGTTCTCCACATAAGGAGCCTGGGAGTCATCCTTCCATCCACACACATGAGCAGCTGAACCACTGTCCTCCACACTGGAGAGACAGACAACACAAAGCAAGAATCACAGCTGATCTGAGCAGAGCTTCTGGGGTTAGGGTCAGGGTGCCAGGCAGGGAAACCTGCATTTCTACCCACTGGGGGCTCAGTGTGGGAAGCCTGAGGATAAACTGTGTTACACCACAGCCAACCTACCTAGCAGAAGGGAAATGCCAACCCAGTTGGCCCCACCTTCCACGAGGGCAAAGGCAGACCCTCCAGCCTGGCCACCACCTGTGAAGTTCACAGTCAGGGGCACAACTCACTGAAAGACTGAGCGCCTCCTTCACTTTACAGCATAGGGGTGCTGTGGCTGAGATGGGTGGTCTCAGAGTGGCGATGTGAGAGATGGAGGAATTTTAAGAGGTAGGGGTCTGTGGCACCATCTTCAGAAGGGATTCATGCTAATCTTGCAAGAGACAGATATTATGAAAGAGCCCAAATCTGCCTGGTTTCCTGTCTCACCATGTATGCGCAGTCTCTCAAAGCTCCCACTATGGTGCCATCCACCCTGTGGTGATGTAGCTGAGGGCCTCATTGGAGTAGAGCAAATGGGGCCACCTGAGCTTAGACTTGCAGCCCCCAGAACTGCAGTCTAAATAAACCTCTTTTCCTTATAAAGTAGCCTCCTTTAAGTATCTACTCTAGCAACAGAAACCAAACTAATAAAATTACTAAAGGCCTATTTTTAGGAGTTCCTGTTGCCCAGTACATCATATCCAGCTTCAACAATTAAAGGCATACTAAAAAACAAAAAATGGTTTGAAGGCCTAAATAAGCAAAGTCAGATATGACAAGAATGTTGGAATATAAGACCAAAAAAATTTTTTAAGAGATCATGAATATGTTAAGGGATTTAAGAGGAAAAGTAGATGACAGGCAAGAACAAGTGAACTAAAAAAACAACTATAGGGAAAATCCTTGCACCAACTGGGCCCACTGTGAGAACCTCAAGTTAGGACCTGTGGGTCATAAAGTCCTATGCCATTTTTGTTCCCAGGAGTGGGTGTGACTCAGAGGCAGCATCTACTCATCCTTCATGATCCAGTCTGCTTTCTTCTCATTAGTAAATGGCCACAGATTGCTTCATAAGACTTGCAGTCCAAATTCTTGGCAATGGTGTAGGATCTCCCTCAGGGAACCTGGTTTTTTCATCAAGCAAGGGGCTCTGGGTCTGACCTGACTTAGGACTGCTAGCTCAGAGAGGTGGTGATTCCCCTCTCAGGGCAGAGTTTTGGCTACCAGGACAAGCTTTTCCTACTGAAGGCAGTAAGACACACCAGCAGGCTAACCAGACCACCGCCAGAGATCTCTGTGGACAAAGGCACTGGGCTGTGGCCGTGTTCTGATCCTCAGACGCAGTGTGCGCCTGTGTCTGCTGGTGAGTGGTGAGGACTGTGCTCCTTACAGTCAGTGCCCCTGTGTCCACTGGTGAGCACTGTGCTCTTTACAGTCAGTGCCCCTGTGTCTGAGGTGAGCACTGTGTCCCTTACAGTTGGCTTGCCCCGTGTCAGCTGACTGAGCACTGGGGCTTGGGTCTGTTGCTCTGAGCCACTGTTTCTACTGTACTCAGGGAGTTTGTTTCAATGCTCAAAACTCACATGGTGCATGGAGTCTGTGAGCCACAAGATTTTCAGGCATTCCTTTTTTTTTTTTTTTTTTTGGTAGTACTGGGGTTTGAACTTAGGGCCTTAAGCTTGCTAGTCTTGCTAGTCAGGTGCTCTATCACTTGAGCCACTCCACCAGCCCTCAGGCTTTCCTCTTTAAAGTATTTCTCATTGCTTCAGTGAAGGGCCCTCTTGTAGAACAGGGGGGTGGGGGGTGGGGTGGAAGGAATCTGTGAGCCCCTAGACTACACCAGGGTGTCTAGTTCAGTGTGCTGACACACAGGCTGTGCCATCTGTAGGGCATATTTGTGGAGTGGTGTCAGTAAGGATTTCCTGGCCACCAGGTCAGGAGTCCTGCGTGACTCCTACATAGCCTCTCTAGGCCTGTTATGGCTTAGATGTCCAGGGGACCTCGGAGTATTTGGTGAGCTTGGCCAGTACTTCTGTGTAATTTGTTAAAAGGAATGCCTGCTGGTGGACAAGAACCCACACACTGTTTCCCACATTTACAACCTTGGGTAGGGCGTCATTGAAGAGGAAGACCAAACTTGGCTTTCCTGGGGCTGACTGCAGGCATCAGTGAGAGACACACCATCTTTGCCCTGTGTGACATTTCCAAAGCATGTCCAGTTCTGACAGCCTGTGACCTTTCACCCCGGGGTGAAGGGGGAGGCCTGAGGTGCAAGGTCCTCACTCAAATTAAACAAGGGTGTACCTAAAAGCAGCAAGTACCCAATGTACTGCAGATGCTGAGTCCAGCAGCTCCCCAGGAGCCCTGAGGAACCCTGGGCTAACCATTGCTCAACGTCCACAGGACATTTGTCTGCAGAAGGGGGTCAGACCTGGGAAGCCACTGGGAGAAGTTCAAGGGGCCTCCTGGTTGGAAACCAGCCACAAGCTACTCCATCTCCTGCACTCAGCCTGCATTTGGAAACTTCCAGTTCTTGGCTGTACATTTGTTTAGTCTGAATCAATTAATCCATGTTTCTTCTCTCCCCACCCCCAACCTTGCCTTTAGAGGAACATCAATATTCATGTAAAAAGTTAAAAAAAAAGAAGGGCACAAAAAGCTGACTCCCCACTTCCTGCCCGACAGGCCCTTTTCGTTCTTAGCCCGTGTGCAAATCTGGCTCTCCAGCAAGTCCCTGGGGCGCCTGGTCAATGCAGCCCTCTGTGCAGGCCTGGCGGTCCAGCACCTCCCTGTCCTCAGCCCCCATTGGCTGACTTGACCTACAGTGGACTGCGCCAGGGCCCACACCCTGTCCTCCCTGGAGGGAGGAATAAGAGGCTGACTCAGTCCACAGTTCTGCCACTCAGGCTGCTGCAGCCAGAGACTCACCGGCGGCAGGAGGTGACCAGGAGGAGGTGAGAAAGAACCACTGACTGAGAACACTTAGGGAAAATGGCTCTTTTTGGGGGATGGGGTGGGGTTGGGGTAGGGCAGGAAACTGAGCTAAAAAAAAGCTAAATATAGCTAAAAACTGTCCAAAAGGGACAACTGACAGTATGTCAAAACTGCCTATGGCATTCTGTGTTTTGGGACTGACTGCACTGTCTACCTTATTACTGCTATTGATGCTATGACTACACCAATACCAGACAGCTAGAGATGTGTTTTGCCTGTTTTCATTTCCACAAATCAGAGAAACCTCAGGTCTAGTGGGTCAGAGGTGACTACCATGAATATTGCTTCTTCTCTAACTCTTTGAAAAGATGGCTTTTGTTTACCACCAGGGCTATGGAAATTCCATGCTAGCTTAGCCCCAAATGCTAAAGAAGCACTCTGCTGCCTCACTCCCCCCTCACCCCCAGGTGCTTCTTTGATGGCCCTGAGTTTCCAACTGCCTGGTTTCCAGTTCTCCTCTGTTTGAAATGCCCCACGCCACAGGGACACCACTCAGAGATGTCAGAACATTGCTCTTTACAAACAATTGTTACCAGAAAGTCAACACAGCCATCTACTGTGGTCTTTGGATCTGGTGAGAGAAGAACTCAGGCAAGACATGAAAACGTAGTGAAAGTGAGAGTAAAGTTTATTAGGAAAGAAATTTAGCATAACGGGGTATATGTAGGGAGAAATGGGCTGGGTGCAGGTGGCTCACACCCATAAACCTAGCTACTTGGTAGGCTGAGCTCAGGAGAATCGTGGTTTAAGGCCAGCTGGGGCAATATAGTTCTCCAGACCCCATCTCCAAAATAACCACCACAAAATGGACTGGAGGTGTGGCTTAAGCAGTAGAGTGCCTACTTTGCAAAGCCCTGAGTTCAAACCCCAGTCCCACCAAAAAACAAAAAGAAAGTAGGGAGAAATGGGTTAAAAGAGCCTGGAAACTCAAAATGGTGGTCCTTATCACTAGTCTTGTATGTTCCAAGCTGGACTACATGCATGACCATGTCTAGCAACCTCTAATCATTAATATAATGGATCTGGGGGATAAGATGGGGGCTAAAACAGAGAGATGTCATCCAGGCCCACTCAAAACACAGGGACAACAGTGAGTTTTAGGATTTCCCTTTGCTAGACATGCCCTTCATTCTTTCAGTGCTACCCATCCAACCAAGGAGCCTTGCAGCTACCTCTAGAGAGGAGATAGCCCCTTTCTGTTTCCCTGTTCTTATAACTTAGCATTTAAAAGGAGGTGGGAGGAGGCTAGCTGCTCTGGCTTTTGTAGTTTCTACTTTCTCCTTTCAATGTCTGAGTTTGGTCCTTTTAATATTATTTTAAATAATATAATTTCCCCATCTCCTCGTCTATCTCTCCCACCTCACCCATCACTCATGGCTAACTTTACCTCAGATTATGAAGGGGACTGGAGTTAGCAGTGGGCTTCCCTCCTCAGTTGTGACCTTCACCAGGAGGCAGAGATGCTTCTCTAGAGTCCTCACATCTTATGCAATGTGTCTTTCCAAGACGTTAAAGTCCTAAAGTTTTTGTATTTTCAATATAAAAGATTAAGGCAGAGCATTCACAGAGTGAAGTGGGAAGGGAACATGTTTATTTACTTCCATTTCTCTTCAAAGATAACCTATAAACAACTAACTGTTCCCTAAGTGAAGAGAACTTAAGAGGAAAAATTTTCAATTAAATTGTAGAAAACCCAATTTTTTGGAGTTTTCTAATATGTGGACTATGCTGTATGCCTTTTCTTTTTTTAAAACCCCACTAGTAATTCACAGAAAAATAACTTATAATTCTCCTCCAGCCATAGTAGACTTTGAGAAGCACCACGGTGATGCACACGTCTCTCAAGATTTTTCTTTTGTTTCTTAAAAATCAATCATTGAGAACTCCAGAGTGAAGGGTAAGATAGAAAGAGATATCACAATTTTAGTCCATTTGGATTTTCTACTGATATATATGATGTATCAGATTTTTAGGAACTTAAGAGCAAAGCAAAGCACACTGACTATTAACAGGACTTTAGCAAACATCAGGCCAAGATAAAAGTCTCCAATCCTGTTTCCTTTGGGAAATCATGATAAATAACATTAGAAGCATTTTAGTCCCAATTATTCTATGACGTGACCTCCTCAGCATGGCATGATTTTTCAATATTTTTTATTTTTTATTTCAACAGTGCAAAGTTTCTTGTTTAATGATGAGAACTCAAGGCAAGAGTTGCCAAGTTTCTCTGCCTGAGCATCTCAGTGTTCTGAAGCAAGGGACAGCTTTTCTAGGACTCTGCTGACCCTGGGGCTGTGTCCACAGCATGTGAGAGGGAGCTTCTTGCTCCACTCTGTGGCCAGTAGGCATCCTGCTGTCCCACCCATAGCAGAAGGCCGGCTCCCACCCACACCTGGTGACCAACATCTGTGGCTGGATACCAGTCCTGCCACACTAGTGATGCTAGGACACTTTTGTTTCGGGAAGCTTAAGTACCTCTCATGTTTTTGTAGCAATTATAGTTTTCTTATTTTTGCTTATTTATTTATTCTTATTATTTCTACTTTCTTTTCCCAGATGGATTTTACAGATACTTTTATGTTCCATAACCCAACTAAGAAATCTCATTCATATTTTTATGTAAAATGCATTAAATTTATATATTAATTCAAAGGAAAGTAATTCCTGCCTTTTACGTTCCTTAGAGTTTTTGGAAGCGTATGCATTTTTCTTCCTAAGCTTTGGCAACGTTAGGATGTTTTCACTCTATTTTCCGTTGTTAACAGACAGGATGTATATTTTTGTGCCCTTATTTGCTCCTAGTCCCCTGACTGTGGGTGTTAAGCTTCCACCTCCACCCCATTGCTGAGCTGCTGGTCTGTTCCCCACACTCTGCCATCTTGGAGCCCCAAGGGCCCACCTGTGAGGCTGGAGCCCATTCCGAGATCCCTCTGCACTCTGCTCCTGTCTTTTGACTTGATCCAACCAAAAGCCAGGGGCCATGGAAACTCATCCCCAAGGTCCACAGGGACACAGAAGGCAGAGGGGAGAACTGTGATAAATGGTGGCACCCGAGGCCAGACCATCTGTCCCCTCATCTGGGTGGATGTCTGCCTAGCAGAAGGCATGAAAGAGTGTCTCTCTTCTGGCCCTCAGGATGTCTGAGCTGGAGAAGGCCATGGTGGGCCTCATTGATGTCTTCCACCAGTATTCTGGAAGGGAAGGTGACAAGCACAAGCTGAAGAAATCTGAACTTAAGGAACTCATCAATACTGAGCTCCCCCACTTTCTGGAGGTGAGTTTTGCCTTTGAAAATCGGCAGTTAGTCCATTCTTCTCTCTACTCACAAAAACACCTATGATGTCAAGTCTGGTGGCTCATGCCTGTAATCCTAGCACTGGGGGGTTGGGGGGGATAAGCAAGATCATGAGGCCAGCCTGGGTTACATAGTGAGTTCCAGGGCAGCCTGAGCTACATAGCAAGACTCTGCCTCAAAAAACAAACAAACAAACAAACAAACTACCTTAGGCTTCCCCTTCTGAGCTGCCCTGAGATGGTTATGAGGGTGTCTGGAATCCTAGGTTGTTCTGGAAGCTTGCTTGAAAAGCCAACCCCTCATGGTGGAGGCTTAGATGGGCTGTTGTTTACATCTCCCTGTCATTTATCTCTGGAGCATCTAGGATTTCCAGGTGACAATGACAACAGAATGGGATAGAAAGACACTCATGACCTTCCCAGGGCTTTCAAGATCCAAACCAAGGCACACACTGCTCCCACCCATCCTTTGCAGGTCTTGACCCCCACCCACACAGGAATCTTTTACACCTGATCCCTTTGTATTCCAGGAAGAATGGTGCTTAGCTTCCTCAGGCCAAGCTCTCCTGTGTGTATGTGGGAACTGGGGAAGGGGGATTTATGCTCTTCTTTCCACCATGTTTGTGGCCCTGCAATGTTTGTAGGTCACTTAGTAACCTTACCATTCACTTGGTTTTGGCGTCAGGCAGGAGAACTGTCAGAAAAAAAAACCTCCTAAAGCAACTTGAGAAGGAAAAAAATGTTCCCAGGCATTATTTCAGCCAAATATTAAACTCTACTTGAAGCCATTACCACAGACACATGAAATCTCAGGAGCAGCAAGAGTTCACTTTTTCCTTCAACACATTTTCTCAGGCTGACACTGAGTTGCATGGTAGCACCCTGCAACTTTTCACATCTTGGTTGTTCCATTCTTTTTAAGTAGTCTGGTCCCCCTGGACCTAAAGTAAGGAGGAGGACAGGCACAGAACCCCCAACTGTCCCTTGGCACAGGAGAAATCTTTTCTGGTATTTAGCATTTCATATCTTGAGATTATTTCTGATGTGAGTTACTGTCAAGTTACTTTTAATCACATTTTGATGGTGCTACATTCAATTTAAAAACACATTGGGTGATATCTCTTCTCTCTCTTAGGAAATCAAAGAGCAGGAGGTTGTAGACAAAGTCATGGAAACACTGGATGAAGATGGAGATGGGGAATGTGACTTTCAGGAATTTATGGCCTTCATTGCCATGGTGACCACTGCCTGTCATGAGTTCTTTGAACATGAGTGAGACAGAGAAGGAGCTGAGCTGTTTCTGCGAGAAGATGAAGGTCATTCCAGTAACCAGAACACAAGCCTTGCAGGCTTGTAGGACTGAGGTCTCAGCCAGGCATAACTAATTAGGAAGCTTGATTTGCTGTAAATGAAAAGTTGAAAACCCCTTCTCAAGAGCTGCTTTAAACTGCTGCATCACTGTTTCTGCCATATTAGGCATTTATGTAGGCTCACTAGTCCCAGGGAGTATTGTAATAACCTCTTTGGAAAGTCAGCCCTCAGACATAAAGCCTATGTTGGACAGACACTATGGGTCTGTAGAATCCTAACTCAGAAAAAACAAAACCACCCAAAATGGCTGCCTAAGTCTTCTAGTACATCTAAATATCAAAGCCCAGTTCATCACACTTGAGAAGGCTGCTCTTCCTTCCATTTGTTTATCATTACTGCAAATAAAACCTAAAGTAGCAAGATGGTCTGACCACCACTGCCCACAAGAGCCCTGTCACATTTAAATCCCCTTTCCTATGCTGTGGTGAACTGTGATTACTGTAAATATTGAGTACTAACTGTCCTAAATGGAAACATGTCTCTTAAACAAGTACTGACTTTTTAACTCAGAACTGAGAATCAAAAGTTAACATTCAGTAGAATTCTCCTTTTAGGATGAACCTCCACTGGCCCTGTGGAATGTGTGTAGGATGAGCCTGGCCAGGACTCAGGACCAGGGCTTAGAGTCTGCTTTCCAGCTAGTTGTGCCTTAGGTAATGCTGTCCCCCAGCCTCCTCTGCAGTCTGTAAAGCAAGTTCTGCGGGATGAGTCACTAAAGACTCATCCCTCGGTTGCTGGAGGTCATTCCCGACCTGCTGGTGCTGAGGTGGCACCTGCTCAATTCCTGGTGCAGCCAAGAAAGTCAAGAGACATGTAGGCTGAACTTCATGCTTTTATAGCTGCATATTCAAATAAATCAAGCATCAAATAGTTTGAGTTATGAATAAATAAGGAAACAAAATCAAGTTATAAATATTACAAGTCACTTCCAGGAAAATTCAAATTAGTTTTATCTACTCCTTCCCCTGTTTTGATTTTTTTTTAATGGGAATAGACTTGAGAATTCGTAAGCCAATGGAATAGTGCACTTGCATTACAGAAGAAGAGCACTGTAGCAATTCTCCATAGCCCTTGAACAAGAAATAAAAACAAAACACTCGTTAGACTGGGACAAAGAGTAAAAGTCTTAGAAGTGGGATGCTGGGCTTCACCCCATCCTCACACAATGGCCTCACAGCCAGGTGGGAAGCAGCCAGGGGCACACAAGATCCTGGGGTGTCAGATGCCACATAGGGTAGGCCTCTCTTCTGCCTTTTCCCACCTCGCTTCTTCCTTACCAGAGGATACTGTGCAGTTCTTGTAGGGAACCAGCTTGTTTGGGTCACGTTTTAGCTTTCTTCTTGCTGTGTTAGAATGCCTGATATAAACAACTTAAAACAGTGAAAAGATTTATTCGACTCATGGTTTCAGAGGTTTCAGTTCATCATGGTGAGGGAGACATTGTGGAGTAGCTCACATCATCATGGATAGGAAGCAGAGGAAGGGACAGGGGACCAGGTATAATCTTCAGAGTCATGACCCCAGTGACCTACTTCCTTCCTCCAGCTAGGACCTACCTCCTAAAGTTCTACCATCTTCCAAAATAGTGCCACCAGCTGGCAGTTTTACACGTGAGCCTGTGGGGGAGGTTTCACATTCAAACCATAACATCTGCCTCTGGCCATTTCCTACTTGCAAGGTGTACTTGGTCTGTCCTCAAGAGTCCCCAAAGTCATAACAGTTCCAACATTGCTTTGAGCAATGTTTGAGTCCAACTCAGGGGCTCCTTTGAGACTCAAGGCAAACTCTGAGCTGTGAGCCCCTATAAAATCAATATATTTCCAATATGCATGAGCATTTCCATTCCAAAAGGGAAAATGGAGCACAAAGAGAGGTGAGACCAAAAACAAAATAGAACCCCGCAGGACAAACATTAAATCCAGTAACCCCATGTCTGGCATCCAGGATACTTGGGCATCCTTGCTATTTGCAGTCCTTAGGGCTTCTCTCTGGGCTGGCTCCACTCAGTGCCTGTGGCTCTCCTTGGCAGCTTATACTGTTCCTCACAGCTTCACATATCACATATCACCCTCTCAGGAACTCCCTGCAGGGACTCATTGCCTGGCCTCTCACACTTTCCTTGAAGTCTGGGTGGAAGACTCCATGACTCTGTAACTCTTGCATTCTGCAAGCCTGCAAAACTGGCATCTCATGGCTGATGATGAGGTCTGATGCCAGGATGACCAGCAGGTGGGCTCCCTAGGACTATGGCTGAAGCAGCCTCTATAGTACTTGGGTGGACTGGGGGGAGCACTACCCTAGGCAGTTCTGAACAAGCAAGGTGTCCAGAAGGTCTCTTTTCAAAGCAAAGTCTTTCAAAGAAATTAAAAATCTTTGCACCTGTGAGCCTGTGATGAGTGGGTTCCAGCCAATTCTTGAGATGCTCTCAGACCATCTTTACTATCGTCTCAATGTAAAGTACTTGGCTTTTAAATGACCCTAGTCTCTTCAGCAACCACACTTTCCTTGGCTCCAACTTTACGTGGACTTCTTTTCTAGGAAAACTGCAAGTCTTTCAAATCTTTCTACTCTGCTTTTTGTTTGTTTTTGGTGGGACCGGAGTTTGAACTCAGGGCTTTGTGCTTGCACAAAGCAGGCACTTTACCATTTGAGCCACACCTCTAGTCCACTTTATTTTTTTTTATTTTATTTTGGAGATGGGGGTCCTATGAGCTCTCTGCCCAGGCTACCTTGCGCCTCAGTCCTCCCGATCTCAGTCTCCCAAGTTCCTAGGGTTATAGGTGTGAGCCAACCATACCCTGCTTGTTTTTGCTTTTAGGTTTTTTTTTTAATTATATATATTTATTTTTTGCAGTACTGGGGCTTGAACTCAGGGCCTCACACTTGCTAGACAGGTGCTCTACTGTTTGAGCCACTCCACCAGCCCTTTTTTGCATTGGGTATTTTCAAGATAGGGTCTCATGAACTATTTGCCTGGGCTGGCTTTGAACTACAATCCTCCTGATCTCAGCTTCTCAAGTAGCTAGGAGTACAGATGTTAGCCATCAGCACTCTGCTGTTTTTGCTGTATATTATGTTGCTTTTTTCAGTACTGGGAATTGAACTCAGAGCCTCGTGCTTGTTAGGCAAGTACACTACCACTTAAACCAGGCCCCAGTCACTCTACTTTTTGCTCCAGATTCTCACAGTAAATCTGGCTGGAAGCAGCCAGCAAACCCCATGCCATGGCCTGAATGCCTTGAAATTTCCTCCCTCAGGTTAATTAGCCCATCACCTTTGCCACAATGTAACACAAATGGCCCCTAATTCAGCTCCCAATAGAGTTCTTGTTCCCACCTGAAACCTCATGAGCAGAAGTTACTATCCACATTTCTGTCAGCATTCTGGTCTTCTGAGCTCTTACCAGAATCACACACTAAGCTCTGCTCATAGCCCTCTGGGACTAGAGTGCTCTAGAGTTCTCTAGCCTACATCTCCAAACTTTTCCAAAATCCTCCCACAAACCAGTTCAGAACCACATCATCATAAGTCGTCACAGCAACAACCCCACTCCTGGCATCAATTTTCTGTGTTTGCCAGACTTTTCATTGCTCTGACAAAATACTTAACATAAATAACTTAGCTGGAGAAGATTTATTTTAACTCATGGTTTCAGTCCATCATAGTCCTTGACTGTGTTGATTCTGGGCCCATGGTGAGGCAGAACATCATGGCAGGAGTAGGAGGCATATGGCAAAGGGTTCTCACCTCCTGGTGGACAGGAAGCAGAGCAAGAGGAATGAGAGGGACTTGGGACAAGACACTGACCCCAGTGATTTGCTTCCTCCAGCTGGGTCCCATCTCCCAAAGTTTTCACCACCTCCCCAAACAGCATCAATAGCTGGAGACCTAGCATTCAACAGATGAGCCCGTGGGGACATCGAGGGGCACTGGTGATTGGAAGTGGGGACCTGGTTTTGAACTGAGCTGGGCCATGGAGGCCTCACTGTGACCATTTGGGGCCACCAGGGCTGCAGGCTTGGGCAGAAGACAAGTAGCTACCCAAGTTGGCTCCCCTGAAGTCCTCACCTCCTCACTGGGCCCTGTGACACTCATGGCCACTGTACTTCTCGAGTGGTCAGGGGCACCTGCCTGTTCTATCCTCCAGTCCACTTGTCTGTCCTCCTGTACTAGCCTCCTGGCCTCAGGGACCCTCCTAGAAACAGCCGCTGCAATGATTGCTTCTATTTCAGGAAACTTCCAGAGGAAAAGTTCGCACATGCACAGCAGGGAACCCAAAATTGGTGCCAGCATAGGCTCCTCCACTGTGTACCACCCACTCATGGACAGACACTCATGAGTGTCCACCCAACGAGCCTAGGCATGCCTACAGTACGTGACCAGGCCCCACCCTCTGGAGGCTAGTGATCCAGGACTGCAGTGGAGTCTGAGCTCGCTCTGCAGAGAGGCTGGTGCTCTCTAGACTGGCCCTCCCTGCAGAAATGCCCCCAAGTGAACATATCCTGCATTTCTCTGCAAACAGCCTCGGGCAAAACAAAGACCTGGCAAGGGGAGCAGCTCAGGGAGGAAACTCAAGTCCTTGGGCTGGTGAAATACCTTCACTGCTATCCCTGGGAAGGATGTCAAGCAAGGGCCACAGGTGTGGTGAAACCAGGTGATGGCCAAATGGAAGGAATGGGCTCTGGGCCTAACCACAGGGCAGTGCTAGTGCTAGAGAGGTTTGTAGGAGGAGAGGCTTGAGCCTTGTCAGGAGCTTCAGGAAGATTTAGGAACAGTGCAAAGCACATGATGGGAGGGTCAGAGGCAGCAACAGTAATGGTTCTGGGGGTGACATCACAACAGGAGTGGAAAAGGGGGTCCATCTGGGAATAGCTCAGGAGGACCCCAGTGTGAGTGGATGTCTGGGGCCACAGCTAGCTGTTATGAACACAGTTATACAAATAGCTGAGGTGATGCTTTTGATTCTTTGGAGTATACATCCAGAAGTGTAACTGATGGATCACACAGGGATAGTTTAAATTTTGGAGGAAATGTCACATTGTTTTAGACAGTGACTGAACCATTTTGCATTCCCACCAACAGTGTACAAAGGATCCGATTTCTGCAAATCCTAACCAGAACTTATTTTTTTTTAAACAGTAGCTGCTATAGTTTGGATCTTAAATGTCCTCCAAAGACCCTTTTGGCACTTTGGGGA